AAGAAGGGGGTCAAAAGACATGAACCTACGTTCCTGGCTACCCTATGCCTTGAAGATATAGAACGCTCTTCGGGTCCCATCCCTGCACCCCTGAAGGAGCTGCTACTGGAGTTTGAAGACGTCATGCCACAAGACATGCTAAAGCAACTCCCGCCTAGGCACATTGTGGACCACGGGATTGAGTTGGTGCCGGGTGTAAAGCCACCCGCCCGGGCGCCTTACAAAATGTCACAACCCGAACTCACCGAGCTTCGGAGACAGTTCATGGAAATGCTAGACACAGGGATCATCGTGCCCTCCAAGTCCCCATACGAGTCCCTTGTGCTATTTGATAAGTTAGGATTTTAACGTGTTTTGTGCCCATACTTGCCTACGCTTTTGTCATAAAATTGCTACAAAATGGTCTCAAAACGCTCACAAGTTGCACTTGATTGCAGGTTTGATCGACGAAGCAACGAAAGTCAAATATCGGCTCAGAAAGGAGTGAAACTTGCTCAAGTGTCAAAGACCAAGGAAGTTAAGGAAAAGAGACCCTAGTGCGGACCGCACAACTGTGAACGCGGCCGCACTAGGAGGTTTAGAGAATGGCAAAATTCAAGGGGAGGCTACGTGGCCGCGGTCAATCCAAAGCGGTCCGCGGTCAGGCTCCGCGGCCGCGCTACACTTTTATGCGGTCCGCGGAGCAGAGATTCAGAGAGCCTAGTTTTGACCCTTTCCAAGCAATGCGGCCCGCGCTCAATTCTGTGCGGCCGCGCCAATTTTCACCGCGGCCGCGCTGCCTTTTTTACGCGGTCCGCGGTCCTCAACTTCAGAGAAGCAGAAGCCAAGAGTTCAAGAGCCAGTGCGGCCGCGGTCATGTTTGCGCGGTCCGCGCTGACCTCGCAGGGGTATTTTTGTCCAATTTTTCCAGTCCAGTATAAATAGAACCTTTTGCTGTTTTAGGTTAAGTTTTTGTTTTTCTGAAGCTGCTGAGCTCGTGAGAACGCCTAGTTTAGCCATTTTTGGCATTCTTACTCTTCAATATTGTATTTTCTTCTTAGCAATCAATTAATATGTTTACTTCTTCATCTATTTCTTTAATTTTTGCATCTAGCATGAGTAGCTAAACTCACTAGCTAGGGTTGTGGCTCAACCCTAGTGTGGGTAATTGATGGGTATTGCGATCTAAGGCTAGATTGATATTGGGTGTTTGCTATTTGGGTTAATTTTAGGTTTTAATTAAGGATTGGTGGTTGCAAACACTGATTCTAGCTTGGTGGGTTTAACTTTCTTGAGAAANAGGGGTGAGGACGGCTTCAAAGATCTTGAGTTGCGGTTTCTATTGGCCGACTTTGTTTAAAGATGCTAGTGACTTGGTCAAGAGATGTGATGCATGCCAAAGGGCCGGCGGAATTTCAAAAAGGGATGAGATGCCTCTCAATACGATTCTCGAGGTGGATATTTTTTATGTTTGGGGCATCGATTTCATGGGTCCGTTCGTGAGCTCTTGTGGGAACACTTATATTCTCGTGGTGGTGGACTATGTCTCAAAGTGGGTGGAAGCCGTAGCTTTACCCAACAATGAAGCCCGAAGTGTTGTAGCATTCTTGAAAAAGAGTATCTTCACAAGGTTTGGTACCCCTCGTGCTATCATTAGTGATGGGGGGTCTCACTTTTGCAACAAGGCTTTTGATTCATTGCTTGCTAAGTATGGAGTAAATCACAAAGTGACCACCCCCTATCATCCTCAAGCTAGTGGTCAAGTGGAAGTGTCCAACCGAGAAATAAAGAGTATCTTGTCCAAGACGGTAAATGCTAATAGGATCGATTGGTCAAAAAAGTTGAATGACGCTTTATGGGCTTACCGGAAGGCTTACAAGACCCCAATTGGTATGTCCCCGTATCGGTTGGTGTTTGGGAAAGCTTGCCATCTTCCGGTGGAATTGGAGCACAAAGCTATGTGGTCCTTGAGAAAGTTGAACTTGGAATGGGATGTTGCGGCGAATCTCCGTATTGAGCAACTTAATGAGCTTGATGAGTTTAGATTTCATGCCTACTCCAGCTCGTCCTTGTATAAGGACAAGATGAAGTATCTTCATGACAAATATGGTCGGGGGAAGGAATTTAAGGTTGGTGACATGGTTCTTCTTTTCAACTCCCGGTTGAGGTTATTTCCGGGAAAACTCAAGTCAAAGTGGAGTGGGCCATTTGAAGTTGTATGTGTGACGCCGTTTGGTGCTCTTGATCTCAAGAACAAGAATGGTGAAGTTTTTCGGGTCAATGGGCATCGTGTCAAGCACTATTTGGGGAAGTTTGATGACAGCCACGTGGTGGCACTCATTCATTTGAAGTGATGTGATGGTAACATGCGTCGTGCCGCGACGTTAAATCAGGCGCTTCTTGGGAGGCAACCCATGTCTTTTTCTTTCTCTTTAATTTTATTTATAGATTAGGATTTTTGAGCTAATTGTTTGTGAGATGTTGCAGGGATTGTGTTGAGGCAGTGCAAAACAAAGGAAAAACACTAGTAGTCTCTGAAGTGGCCAGTGCGGACCGCGGTGCACTTTTGTGCGGTCCGCGCTGGCATGTCATTAATTGCATGCTCTCTGAAGTTTTCTACCGCGGCCGCGGTAAAATTTGGGCGGTCCGCGGTGGACCTTCGCATCCGCGGTGGGTTCCAACGCGGCCGCTTGAGGTTGCCTTCTGAAACTTCTGAATTTGAAATCCAGCGCGGTCCGCGGTCACTTTTGCGTGGCCGCGCTGGTAGGTGAGTGTGGGGCCCCCAGTTTTTCTATAAATAGGGCCCTAGGGCTTCATTTTACCCTTTTCGCACTTTCAACCCCCAGAGCTCTAAGATACTGTTCATCCTCTTCTAAGACTACTTTTCTGCCTTCTTGGACTACTTGCACTCAATCCTCATAAACTTGGTAACATTTCGTGCACTTGTGATTAATTAAATTGCTTATTTTCATTTTTTATAGCTTGTTCAGTGGTTTAGCTTATTCTTTTTATTTAACTATTAGACTAGGTTGGTTTAAAACTAGGGTAATGCACCAAATCTTGCTTGATTAATGGGTGAACTGAGTAGGGACAAAGTAGGTGTAATAACTTGTACAAGAATGGAAAAATATGCACCCCTAACTTAGTTCCCGGAAACCCTAGTTCAGCGCGGTCCACGGTCATTTTTGCGCGACCTCGCTGCCCTGACGCGGTCCGCGTTACAATTTTGTGCGGACCGCGGTGTTTTGGTGACTGAAAGGTAATTGATTCCAGTGCGGCCGCATTCATGTTAGTGCGGTCCGCGCTGGACCACCGCGGCCGCATTACATTTTTTGTGCGGACCGCGGTGGGAGATTCAGAGGAGGTATATTTTGGGCCTTTGCCCAACGCGGACCCCGTTACAATTTTGTGCGGTCCGTGGTGCCCCTAACGCGGCCGCTGTCACATTTGTGCGGTCCGTATTGTTAGGTTCTGCAACCTGTTTCTGCTGCTGTGTACTGATATTGTCTATGCAATCTATTTTGATTCACTTGTTTCACTACATGTGCTTAAACTAACAATGTTAGATACTTATCTTGCAGACAATGGTTAAACAAAGGGGAGCCAAACAGTCACAACAACCCGGGAGAGGAGGTTCCTCCCGAGGGGGTAAAGGAAAAAGAATAGCAAAGCTCATTCCCCAGGCTAGGGAAAACATAAAAAGAACTAGAAAATTAATCGAAGCTGCTGATAGGGATGCTTCGCATTCGTCGGGGAGTGAGTATGTCCCTTCCAAGGATATCACATCAGATACAGTCCCAAATCATGTAACCGACCCCCTCCACTTAGTTGACACCCCTCCATCATCGCCCACTTCCAAAAGACCAGTGACTGTAGTCTCGGTTTCTTCTGACGAGTCCGCAGCTGGTAGTGAGCAATACTCCACCTCCCCCACAGCTTCATTATCTGGGGAGAGTGCAGGCCAAGATGAAGGAGGTGAACCTCAGGTTGGGGGGATTGAGAGATCTAGGAAGCCTGAAGTTTGGGAGGATCGGTTTGTCAGTCAGTTGGCCTTTCATAAGTTTAGAGAATGGTGGCCGTTGAGGAAGTTGATCCCGGAGAGATGCTTTATTGACACTGATCTTTTATCCCATAACCCGAACGTGCAGAGGGAGTTCAGAACAAGATGGGGCTGGGAGTTCTTCATGGAGAGGTGCATAGATGCTAACGAGCACATGGTTAGGGAGTTCTACTCCAATGTGGCTCATATAGTCAAGGATACCAAGGTGACCAAAGTTAGAAACAAAACAATGTTGTTTGATGGGAGATCGTTAAATGACTATTTGGGGTTCCGTGATGAAGACGAGTTTCTATATTTGGAAAAGTTGGCAATGGGAGAGGAAGTTCGACCGTGGTTGGCCCAGTACTCGGCAATCCCAGGTACTGTGCCGGAGTGGTTGCAAGCTGGAAAAAAGATATTCAGAAAGACATTCAATTTTGAGGCTCGAGGGTGGTTGACCTTTGTATGCAGTCGGCTTGACCCTTCTACTCATGACCAGACAATTCCACTTACCCGAGCAGTTCTGGTTGCATCCATCATGGCTGGGTACCGCATCAACGTGGGCAATGTGATGTCCCGTGTGATCTCTGCGGTGGGGCAAGAGCATGACAGGAATTATCCTTTTCCAAACACCCTATCGATGTATTTTCGGGATCTAGAGGTGGAGAAGAGGAGATATGATGTCAAGACAAAGCCGGTAGCTCCTTACTCTTGGTACAACATGCAGGGTCCGGACAATCCTAAATCCAAGAACTACAAGCCACCTTCCTCTGCCCCAACTGGCCAGTCTGAGGAGCCAGTTGCGGTAGAGCCTTCTGCTACACCTGCTGCCGCTACAGTTGAGGACTTGCCTCCGGGACCTTCTTCTTCTGCTGGTCCCAGTACTTCCACAGGCCCGTGTGTTCCATCTTCCAGGACTCATCCATTCACTGCCCATCAGCTGAGTCAGACTCTAGCTAGCTGAACAACTGGATGTCAACAGCGACAACCAAGTTGTCCACCTTGTCTTCCACTATTCAGACCCAGGCAGCACCTCAGCCAATTCAGATCCCTCGGTCCATTGAGGATACCTTGAAAAAGCTCCTGGAGAACCAGGAAAAGATTTTGAAGACTCAGGCCACCCTATCTGCAGAGTGGAGTCACATGGCAAGGCTCTGAAGGAGCTTGCCAAGGAGCACATGAAGATGCGGAGGTCACGGGCTTCCAAAGAGTCTGTGAAGGAGCTGAGGAAAGATGTGGACAAGCTACTGGGAGATCAGATGCCTTTAGACTTGTTATTTGGGGATCCAACCCCTCCAGCAGCAGCACCAGTGCCACAGCCAGAGTAGGAGCAGGTACCCAGGCAGCCTAGGAAGAAGAGGAAGCTCCCCAGCACAGCGGATGCAGTTATTGAGGTGGCAGTCCCACAGGAGGCCTCATCCACTTTGCCTCAGGATGCACCTGACATACAGCCGGTCCAGGAGCACGCTCCAGTCCCAGCAGTTGAGCAGCAGGAGGCCGGGAGCCAGTCTGAGGCTCTCACACATACGGAGGACTTGGGGACCACATCTGACCCCATGCAGACGGATCAGGCTTAGGGAGCCTCGATATCCTTTGCTATGACTTTCTTTTTGTTTGATGCTTATTTTGGTAGTTGGCATTGGGGACAATGCCAGCTCTTATTCGTGGGGGTGCGCCCTACTTTTTTGTTGACTATCTGGATGATTGTACATATTTGACTCAGTTTTTATTCCTTTTGCTTGATTTGCTATTTGGTATGTAAATAACTTTACATTCAGTATTATTTTCTATTTTGGTTGGTATATAAAGTTAAGTTACATTTTGTATAAATTCATTCCTCGTTTGTATATTCTAACTCCCCATTATAAATATTCATTCTAGTTTCTTTTTCGCAAAAATTTTTCATTTTTAGCTTTATAGTTAGGCTCGTATCCTTTTGTTTTGTTTTTGACGTTTCCAATAAGCCCTTGGTTTTCTTAAGGCCGCGGTTCTTTCCAAGGGTGAAATATTGTGTGAACCGGGTGGCTCTTCCCGATGATGGATGGAGTGACTACCTTCTTAAGGGTTTGAGTCCGTTCTTTGATTTTTCTTTTGTTTTTTTTATAGTGGTAGTTAAGGGCACCTCAAGCAAAGCTTCACTTGGGCCTAGCACATTTGCCTTTGATCCCATGGTCAAAGACATAATGTTGTGTTTAGGATGGTGAAAGTCGTGGCCTTGTGACTCTTGCATTGACCAAAAAAAATCATCATGTGGTCTTTTCGGACCATTGTGTGCTTAAATCGTAACTAAGGTCGTTGTGGGCCCTCGACTCGAAGTCTTTAGCAATCCCTTAGTGTGTGTGGTGAGGAATCTAATTTTTATTTAAGTCCCGAGCCAATGGTCTAGAACTTGCCCTGAATGTCTGTTGAGGCGAAATCCTAGGTGAAATTTGACTTGAGAAGTGATTATAGGCTCTCCTTGATCCGAATGTTAAGCTGAACAATTCCATAGCCTACCAAAAAGATGATCCCTAGTTAACCCTTTTGAGCCTTAAACCTTTTCTTTCAAGAACCAATGCTACAAGCCGATACCCGTTCTAAATGATTGCCCTCTCTTGGAACCCAAATCTTCCCTTGAGTAATGGCAAATGTCTAAGTTTGGGGGGGAGAGACAAGAAAGGAAATAAAGTGGTAGTAAGGTACAAAAGCAAAAGAAAAAGGGGAGGCAATGAAAAATCAAGAAAAGAAAAAGACAAAAAGAAAGTTCAAAGTGAACAAGAATTAAAGGGGAGTCAAAGGAAACAAAAGTGAAAAGAAAAAGGTGTGGAAAAAGTAGAAAAGGAGAAATATTTTGAATTGCATAAGAAAGAGTGACAATGTGTCTCTCTAACCCTTTGTAAAGAAGTGAAATACTCAAAAGAGTCAAAAGAGTTGTGCCATAATGAATCAAAAGAAGTGCTTGAGGGAAGATTGAACCCATTTGAATAAAAACATGTCCTACCCTTACCCAAAAGCCTTCGTAATGACTCCACAAAAGCCCTATAGGATCTTGAGTTGAAGGAAACCTACATTAGTGGATACTTACATAAGGGGCAAGCATATGGTACCTGAAGCCGGACTTGTGACCTTCTCCTTGAGAGAGATGAGTGAAACTCCATCAACCTCGATTTGTGTGTTAATACTCTAAAAGGTGAGGTTCGCTTAGGGAGAGTTGAGGACGTGTGAGTTTGGGTTCCACAATGACCAAAGTAATTGAGACAAGCTCTTTGATGAAATGTGTCAACTCTTGATGCTCTTGCGTCACACTTGATCCATTGTATTTCAAAAGTTAAATGTGTTAATGATGCATTCGTATTGAGGGCAATTGTAGCCCCAATTGATGCTTGTTTAGATTGCCTTAGGATGACTGGAATTATGTGGATTTTTCTTTAAGGGGTGGGTCCTATTTTGTTTGCTTGAGGACAAGCAAAGGCTTAAGTTTGGGGGAGTTGATAAGTTAGGATTTTAACGTGTTTTATGCCCATACTTGCCTACGCTTTTGTCATAAAATTGCTACAAAATGGTCTCAAAACGCTCACAAGTTGCACTTGATTGCAGGTTTGATCGACAAATCTATGAAAGTCAAATATCGGCTCAGAAAGGAGTGAAACCTGCTCAAGTGTCAAAGACCAAGGAAGTTGAGGAAAAGAGACCCTAGTGCGGACCGCGCAACTGTGAACGCGGCCGCACTAGGAGGTTCAGAGAATGGCAAAATTCAAGGGGAGGCTAAGCGGCCGCGGTCAATCCAACGCGGTCAGGCTCCGCGGCCGCGCTACACTTTTACGCGGTCCGCGGAGCAGAGATTCAGAGAGCCTAGTTTTGACCCTTTCCAAGCAATGCGGCCCGCGCTCAATTCTTTGCGGCCGCGCTGCCTTTTTTACGCGGTCCGTGGTCCTCAATTTCAGAGAAGCAGAAGCCAAGAGTTCAAGAGCCAGTGCGGCCGCGGGGTATTTTTGTCCAATTTTTCCAGCCCAGTATAAATAGAACCTTTTGCTGTTTTAGGTCAAGTTTTTGTTTTTTCGGAAGCTGCTGAGCTCGTGAGAACGCCTAGTTTAGCCATTTTTGGCATTCTTAATCTTCAATATTGTATTTTCTTCTTAACAATCAATTAATATGTTTACTTCTTCATCTATTTCTTTAATTTTTGCATCTAGCATGAGTAGCTAAACTCACTAGCTAGGGTTGTGGCTCAACCCTAGTGTGGGTAATTGATGGGTATTGCCATCTAAGGCTAGATTGATATTGGGTGTTTGCTATTTGGGTTAATTTTAGGTTTTAATTAAGGATTGGTGGTTGCAAACACTGATTCTAGCTTGGTGGGTTTAACTCTTCTTGAGAAAGAGAGTCTATAACCCCAAAATTGACCCAACAAGGAATTGGGATGGACCCATGAGAAATGGTAGTCCCAATTAACGGGTTAAACCTCGAGAGAGTAATCACCCCACTTGAACACTAGTTGCTTGGTTTAATTGTCCTACCCAATTGGTCTCGAGAGAGTCAATTGGGCAAAATCACTCTCTCTACCGAGAGGTGTGAGAGTGGGTACAATTGTGCAACGGTTATAGCATAAGCCCCAAACATGTCAATCTATCCTTAGTAGCATCTACCCGTTAATTAGCCACCTAGGCAATGCCACGACCCTAGTGCCTTTCTCTATATTAATTACAACTTAGCAATATTCCCATAGCATAATTTAGCTTCAATCATTAGTCTTATAATAGTAGATATAAAAATCAAAACCAAGGATGTTTGAAGTGATATTAGAAGCACAACTGCAATTCTAGACTAAACAGACAATACAACTCCATTACTAGCTCCTTGTGGAAATTCGATCCCGAACCACTATTCGGGTAAAAGCTGTTGCAACCCGCTCTTCCTACCTTAGTGTAGTGTTGAGTCAGCATCGATCACTATTCCAAAAGAAACATGATGGCAGCCTACGACTCTGTGTGGATTATCGGGCTCTAAACAAAATCACCGTGAAGAACACGTACCCTATTCCGCTAATGGCAGACTTGTTCGATAGACTGGGTGGTGCGACGGTGTTCACCAAAATAGACCTGAAGATAGGTTATTTGCAAGTTTGCATTGCACAGGGTGATGAACACAAGACGTGTGTGACAAGATATAGGTCGTACGACTTCCTAGTTATGCCATTCGGCTTGACTAACGCTCCAACCACATTTTGCACCCTGATGAACCAAGTCTTCCGAGAGTACATTGACGAATTCGTGGTAGTCTACTTGGATGATATTGTGGTATATAGCCAAACACTGGAAGAACATCTGGAGCACTTGTGGAAGGTATTAGCCCGGTTGCGGGAGCACAAATTATATGCGAAGCTATCCAAGTGATCCTTTGCTTAAAAACAAACTGACTTCCTCGGACATGTCATCGAGGAAGGGTGCATCAAGATGGACCAACAGAAGATTCAGGCTATCACTGATTGGCCGCCTCCTAAGGATATCCATGCCTTGAGGGCGTTCCTTGGCCTATGCAACTTCTATCGGCGATTTGTGAAACATTACTCCCTCATCGCAGTGCCATTGACAGAATTCCTCAAGAAGGTCACGCCTTGGGATTAGGGACCCAGGCGAGCAGAGGCCTTCAACGCACTGAAATCGGCTATGTCTAGTAGCCCTGTCTTGGCCCTTCCTGATTTGTCCAAGCCATTCGAGGTACAAACGGATGCCTCCGACTATGCCCTTGGCGGAGTCTTGCTACAAGAAGGGCATCCTGTAGCGTACGAGAGCCGGAAGCTGAAGGATGCAGAGCAACGCTATGCCGCTCACGAGAAAGAATTATTGGCTGTCATTCATTGCTTACGCCTTTGGAGGCACTATCTGCTGGGAACCCCCTTCATGGTCAAGACAGACAACACAACTGTTAGCCATTTCATGACCCAACCGAAGCTGAATGGTCGACATGCCAGGTGGCAGGAACTCCTTGCAGAATTTCACTTCAACGTGGAGTACCGAAGTGGGAAGATTAATCATGTTGCTGATGCGCTCAATCGGAGAGCTGATCTAGCATCAGTGTGCCTATTCGCCACCCTAAGGGGGAGCGAAGTAGTCATTACCATAAAAGACCAGATACTGGATCTACTCATCAAGGATCCTACTGCACAATATTTGGTTGAT